CAATACATATAAGCAATATGAACAAAGTCTCTTTGGCGTCTTCAAGAAATGGGAAGAGTTTAAAAAGTGCAAAGTTTGAGAGCTGCTGCCTTCAGTCAAAAGAAAAGAAAACAAAAAAAAAAAAAAAACAAGTATTTGAAAAGCAGAGTTTGGTAAGATACGTCTTTTTCTACCTCCTGTGAATTATTTCAGGATCTCTTCGATACTGGCAGAATCATAAGCCTTAAAGACATCCACATCCTAATTCCCAGAACACAAGTGTTACCTTATGTGGTGTAAGGGAATCAGCTTGCCGACGGAACGAAGGTTGCTCATCAGCCGCAGGCTGGATAATCCAGGTGGATCAGACATAATCGCAAAGGACCTGAAATGTGTAAGCGTGAGAGAGAGGAGCGTCAGAGTAATACCTTGTGAGAAAAACTCCCCCAGCTGATGCTGGCTTTGCAAACGGAAGGGCCACAAGCCAAGGAATGCAGCAGCCTTCAGAAGCTGGAAAATGCAAGAAAAGAGGTAAGAGATCCTCCTGAGCCTCCAGGAAGGAAAACAACCCTGCCGGTATCTGGATTCTAACCCCGTTGCGCCCACCGCAGACTTCTGACCTCCAGACTGCAAGACAACACATTTATGACTCTCTAAACCACTGGCAACGCTGAACTCTGCCTGAGCCCTGTGTTCCTGGAAAACAGCGAATGTTAAGAAATCTCCTTTATTCTGTGCTCTGGGCAGTGACTTCCTGCAGAGAGTCACTCATTCCCATGTGACTTAGATGACACTCAAGCATAACCACTTGTTTAGGAAAAGGCCAGGCACAGACCCTCCAAAGTCCTGTTCTTTGCCCCATAAATGATAAGTTGAACTGCTTTGCCTGTTGTCCATGGGAACAAAAGGCATGTTAAGCTAACTTTGGCTAAATTTCTCTCCTTCCCTTAGTCCTGATCCTCAAGCAGAGCCAGCATACAGCCCCTCCTTTGTGCCCTATACTAGGAATAGGGTGACCTCAGGGTAAAAACGCTCTCGGACATGTTGTCCTATCATGCCATCTTCCTCATTCATCCTACTTCGCAAGCCTGGTTCTTCCTAGTCTTGTTTACTCCCCCTTATAAAAGAAAAGCCTTCTTCTGGCTGATCTCTGAGACACGTGCAGACGTCACAGTTACTGAATTCTCCCTAATGCAATAGCCCTTTGTCCCTCTTGCAATCATTCTTTCTCACACAGCACCTCCCTATCTAGGTCCAGATTTTCTTTTTCTTTCTTTCTTTCTTTTTTTTTTTTTTTGAGACAGAGTTTCGCTCTTGTTACCCAGGCTGGAGTGCAATGGCGCGATCCCGGCTCACCACAACCTCTGCCTCCTGGGTTCAAGCAATTCTCCTGCCTCAGCCTCCCAAGTAGCTGGGACTACAGGGTGTGCCACCATGCCCAGCTAATTTTTATATTTTTAGTAGAGACGGGGTTTCACCATGTTGATCAAGATGGTCTCGATCTCTTGACCTTGCGATCCACCTGCCTCGGCCTCCCAAAGTGCTGGGATTATAGGTGTGAGCCACCGTGCCCGGCCCAGATTTGCTTTTTACCTGGCACCATTGAGTTTGTGTAATTTGTTATAGCAGCAGCAGGAAGCTGATACACAGCCTAAAAGCAGCGGACTTCCCAAGGCTTCTTGGGAGAATGAACAAAGCAGGAGCAGGAGATGACAGCACTAATTCCCATTCATGTAGCTCCTATCAAATGACTGGCATCCATTCCATTTGCAGTCATACCAAAGATGCTGAAGATCTGAGATTGAAGGAGGTTTATCAAGATGAATATCTTTGATCAATCAACGATCCCTCGATCCAACCCTCTAGGTGGCATAGCTGGGAGTCTCAAAAAACTATCCTTCAATTAATTCTGTAGTGGCCCAGAACCCCCACACTGTCACTACCCAGAGGAACTCCTTGATGGCCCAAGTAATAGAAATGCACCTTGGCCTTAGGATATTCATTTACAAGTCTGCATGTGAGAACTCATTTCATTTTATAAATAAAAGGTAAAACTTAGAGAATGAATACAAATCACACCATTCTCTGGGATGAGAAATGGAAAAGGAATCTTCTGTGTGTTAAACACTGTGAACCCCTCAAGGAGCATCTTATGACATGTAGCGTTTGCAAAGACGTTCTTTTAATAGGAATGACCTTGTTTTCCTGTTTGTGCTATTTTGAATATTAAGAGGTGCATTGCAAGCTCAGCTGATAGCCGACATGTTGAAGTTGCAAAATGAAACTCTTCACTTAAGAAAGACATCTTTATCTCCTAAAAGTCATGCTGATGAACCAGATGTTTGAGTGATGTTGCTGCTATTTTAGTATCTTCAGTTGTCATTTGTTACTTGAAGGTTTTAAAAATGAAGAAGCAAGAGGGCTCACTAAGCTTCCTTAGCAGCAGGCAGAGCCTCGTCGGTGAGTCAGTCCCACACACACAATCACGAACATGCTCACACGCGTCTCTCATGCCATATCACTGCAACACAGACTGCTTGTCACCCCCCCATCTCAATCCACAGGTTGCACGTTTTACCTATCCAGAACACTCACTACTGTGTGAGGAATGATTGCGGTGCCAAAGGCAACTCACACACATCTTTAGCGATCTCCAACTTTTCCACACCGTAGGTAGAATTTGAGATTTCTGGCTATCATTCTATAAAATGCAGAGCAGACAATTTAGAATATCTCTTAAAATAGAAAGGTTTTCAACAGGAAGCCCTACCATCAGCTGCACTCCTGGCCTCATTTTATTACTATTCCATTTCCCTCCTGAAGTCCAGCAACCTGGTTTGCATTTCCCCTGCATTTTGAAATCTTCAGGACGCCTTTCTCAGCTGAGTGGCCTGTGGCAGGGCCTATGGCCCTTCTCCACGGAGTACATGGGATAGCACACGTGCTGTTTTCAACAAGCCACCTGACAAAACTATGACTTGCCCCCGTGTGAGGGGCAGAGGTTGGAGAGGGGAGTTAGAAGAGGCAAAAGAGACAAAAGAAAAGCAGAATGAACTCTGTACATGCATGGACAATCTCCCACTCTCTGGCCCATCTTTGATTCTGGATATGCAAAAGATTCCTAACCTGCAATCCCCGAGTGAGTTTTGAAAGAAAGATGGTTTCCTGTCATTAGATGCAATATTGTGGGGTGGGAGGAATGTTTTTATCAGATTCACAATAAAAGGTTAAAACCCATCTTAGTAAAGTTTACAATTCAATTAAGCAATATCTTTTTTAAACTTTCCAGCACAGCTCAAACTATTAAAAAAATCCCTCCCATATCTGTTTTTTAAATCTGGTTGTAAGCAAAGGGAAGTTTCTATTTCTACTTTCTGTTTCCAAGGGGAAAAAAAAACTAAAGGGAAAAACGAAGAGGGGAAGAAAACAAAAACTGAAGTGTAGTGAAGATGAAATAAGGAGCTGCTAGAGCAGTAGAATTTGAGAGCTAGAAAGATCACTTTTTCCAACATGCTCTTTCAATATTCGTGATTTATCACATATTATGAGGCCAAAGTGTTGCCTGGTTTCTTGCCTCTCACACCCAGCAGCAAGACAATGTCCAGGGCAAGTGGGAGAGGCAGTGATGAGTCAGTAGGCAAAGGCCTTGCCGGTGGGGCCCCCACAGACTTGTGACAGAAGACAATTCCCTCCAAGTTTACCTTTAAAGACATTATTGGCTGAGCATGGTAGCTCACATCTGTAATTCCAGCACTTTGGGAGGCCAAGGTGGGAGGAATTGAACCCAGGAATTCAAGGCTAGCCTGGGCAACCTAGCAAGACCCCAGCTCTATAAAAATAAATAAATAAAAAGTAAAAATGCTGTGACTGCACAAAAGCATGCAGCAGCCACGGGATGAACGTCGAACAATGTCAAGTAAAGATTTTTAAATTTTTATTTAGTGCTGTTTATTTGGTTTGACCTTTTTCTTTCCACCTACCACTAAGACCTGGGAATTGAGAGAATTCAGTTCAAAAAGCAAATCTGCATTTTGACTAACATTAATTGAGGTGTTTCCTGAACTTCTGCACTGATACGGTTGGACAGCGTCCTCACCCAAAATCCCATCTTGAATTATAATCCCCATAAGTCCCATAATCCCCACCTGTCAAGGGAGAGACAAAATGGAGGTAACTGAATCACGGGGTGGTGTTTCCCCCATGATTCAATTCTCTCATGCTGTTCTCATGGTAGTGAGTGAGATCTCGTGAGACCTGATGGTTTTACAAGTGTTTGGTAGTTCCTCCTGCATTCGTTCTCCTTCCTGCCACCTTGTGAAGAAGGTGCCTTGCTTGCCCTTTGCCTTCCACCGTGATTGTAAGTTTCCTGTGGCCTCTCCAGCCATGCCGAACTGTGAGTCAGTTAAACCTCTTTTCTTTAAAAATTACTCAGTCTCAGGGATGTGCTTTTAACAGTGTGAGAACGGACTAATACATGCACCCTCTGTGTACATATTATTATTTAAAAGGGTGTTCCTAGAGGGCATTAGGTGACCTTGTTGGACAAGCTGGGGTGTCAGGACCATAGTCCATGGTTCTATGATTGTCAGGCCTTTTCCAAGAGCCACACATGCACTCACAGTCTCCAGCATTCAATGTCTTTTCTTGCTCAGGTCACAAGGAACATTGCCAAGGCAAGCATCCAAGGTTCCTGGGCTGCGACGCCCACCCTGCCTTTGGCCCTGCTCCTGTCTCTCTAAAACACCCTTTCTTGCTTGTCTATCCTGCTCTTAGTGAACGCCTACTCAGAGTTCTTTCTCCCTGACACCACCACTGGCAGAAATGATCCCCCTCTTCCTCAATCCCCACCAGGCACAGGAGACACTAAAAGTGAGGACCATGTTCTGTTGTCTCTGTAGACCCAGCAACTAGCAGAGGTTCTGGTGCAAAGAAGAAAGTCTCCATGTAATGGTTGAACTAAAGCTTTCCTGGGCTCAGAATGTATTCATCTGACAAGAGTCTGTTGATCGCTACTGTGTACCAGGTCTGTGCTATGAGGGAGGGATATCAAGATAAATAAGTCCCAGTTTATGTTTACAAAGAGCTCTTAGTCTAATGAAAATGAATGCAAATCTGTCAACCTCTAAGGGAGAAAACATATCCAAGTTTATTCCCTTCTGATAATAGGACAGAAACATCAAATTCATTGGTCTAGAGTTCCACCACCATTTGCAGAGAAACTCACCTGACTGGGCATCATACCCATGGCTAATAAAGTCTTAATAACCTGATGTGTTTAAAGCTAAATTCAAGTTAACAGAGGCCTGAAGATATTAGCGTTGATTAGGGGAAGTACAAGAGAGAGAGAAAGAAAATTAAATCTGAAAAAGAGAGAAATAAAAATGATAATCAAATTTTATTGTAGGTGATTTTGTTCTATTTCTCTGTCTTGAAGTGAAGGCGAAAGTAGAATTTTCTTTTATTCTTTAGAAAATCCACAACTGGCCCAGGAGGCTAGGCATGTACTCAGTTCCCACCTCAAGGCTTCATTTATAGCATTCTCCTATTTTTAAAAACGGATTTCTGTAAAATGTTTCATAATGTGGATTGGTTTCTTTGGGGTCTGCCTCTGCACTATAGCTGCATTAAAAAAAGACATTAATAACTTCTCCGTTAATGGGTTTTTCAGAGTCTCCAAAGACTCACCTTGTACATTATAACTTCCTCCCACTTAGCCTGCTGGCTATATCTTGATTGCCCTTGTAAGACATCTTCAGGACATATTGCTTAAGTTAAAGATTGTCCTTATGAGAAATAACTTCTCATACTCTGCACAACGTACACTCAGGAAACAGCAGTGCTTAAGTGCCGTCATTTCGTGTGTCATTTTACCTTCATCCTGTGAAACACTCAGCTCTGAGAGGGGCTGACCCTGCCTAGTAAATGAAGAATTTCAAAGACAGAGGCAGCTGAGGCTCTATTCAAGACATAAGAGGTGACTTTGAACTGGTTATTTCATATTTTTGTCCTTTGCCAAGACACTCTGGTCAACTTACCCAATCTTCTCTTTTATAGGGTGAGATGGAGTTCCCAGAAAATTATTGTTACATGTTGAAACCTGTAGAAGAGGGCAGAAAAGATTCCATAAAATCATAATTTGCTAAGTGTATGTGTATGTGTGTATATGTGAAATATATGAGTATCTTTTCTATCATCCAGATATGCTGATATTAAAGGTAGAGCCTTGCAATGGATCTCAAATTTTGCTATGTGAATTCTATGACACCAAGGAATGGAAATCACTGGAGGGTAGGAACTATGGCAACCTCATGTTTGTCACTGCTTCTAGTCTTGCAGTGTTAGCCTTTTCCAGTCCTGAAAGAAATTAAGCTTGCATCTCCCTAACTATCTGCCACTGGAGCTAGAAACTAGTACCAGCTGCTTTAACTTGGCAAGTAAAACCTGAATTCAGAAGTGACAAGCAAAGGTCCCAAGACTCTTCTTGCAAAAGTAGGAGTTCTTTGCCTTTTATGAATTACAGACAGCGTTGAGAATGTTTTTTCAATGTACATAGGTTCAAACACATGCAAGTTTGCATGCTATTTTTGGAGGGTCACAGGCCCTAACAGCTAACTTCAGCATCTCTACCTTGAAAATATTTTAAAAAGCAGCCTGCCCCTCAGCTCTTATTCCCCAGGTTGGCAGCCCATTGCTTTATTTTGGTCCCTGCCATCTTCATGCTACTCAGAGGGCACTTGTTAAGTAAGCTGCCTCCAAAATCATCAGGTAACTGCAGTGGTAGTTGTGTGCCTCATCATGCTGCCATTAAAGAAATGACAGTCTGGTTAACAAAGCAGCACTGGTTTTTGACAGATGACAGAGCATTAGTGGCACTGAGATCAGTTTCAAAACAAATGGCTGTCTCAGGCTACTCACCACTCTGTCATGAGACTGTCAGGGGCTGCCTGTGCATGGTTCACATCCGAGGAAGCTTGGCCAACTGGCACTCACAAGAGGTGACATCTCTCAACAGCATCAGTCTCTGCAGGCCGCCAAGTACTACACCAAACATTCGAACACAAAGTGTGATAGCAGAGACATCCCGGTGCACCAGCTGCAAATGAGTGGCAGACAATGAAAAGTTGGTTCAAAATGTGGCTTCATGGTTTTCATTCAGTGCAGCGTGATGAGTGAAAGCAGATTTTTGTCTCCAACGGACCTCATTTGCCACTCACTTGCCCTTTCAAACCACCCTTTTACTAAGTGTCACTTTATAGAAAGTGGGGATAGTTGAAAAAGGTATTTTTCAAGGTTACTGTGAATGGTAAATGTAGTGGTAATTAGTGCAGGTAAAAAGCTTTGCACAGCACCTGTCAAGTATTAAAGTATTCAAGAAACTCAGGAATGAAACAGCCAATGCAAGTTAGTTCTAACATATAAAAGGAAATTACCTAAGTACTATCTGAAAACTACATAGTGAAGTCAGTCTGTTTGGGCTTCCACAACAAAATACCATAGATGGAGGGGCTTAGACAACAGAAATTGATGTCTTGAAGTCTTGGAGGCTGGAAGTCAAAGCCCAAAGTGAGAATGGAGATCCAAGTGTGGGTGGAATCTGTTCTTGGTGAGCATCACCTTCCTGGTGTGCAAATGGCTGCCTTCTCACTCTGTCTTCATGCAGCAGACGTGTGTGAGGGAGAAAGGCAGACCTGACGCTTTCTGGGGTCTCTTCTTGTAAGCACACTAATCCTATCAGATCAGGGCCACATCCTTATGACCTCGTGTAACCTTCATTCCCTTCTAAAGTTCTTATATTTAAATACAGTCACGTTAGTGATGAGGAATTAGTGCAACTTGGGAACGTGGGGGGAATACAATTCAATTCACTGCAAATGGCAATAGATTTTAGGTATCCTGAGAAATTTGGAAAGTAAGACCAAACTTAAATAATATCTCTAATTTACAAATTTTATAAATCTTCAACTGTGAAAATTAAAATTCTGAATTGACAAAGTCCATATAAAATATATTTTTTCCTCTCTGGGTTGAGGGAGAGCCATGCCAAGTCCAAAAATTCTCCACCATTTGACCCATTTTGTGAGTCTATTTGTACAATTTGAGGGTTGGGCTACAGACACAGAAGTATGACCCCAGAGACACTCCAGCAACTGTGCCAGGGAGCGAGGGCAGGGAAGGGAGCGAAGGCAGCCTGCCCCTGCCACTGGCTCCATGCAGCCATTGACACTGAAGGATTCTGGGAGCCAAAGAGAGTATTTTAAAGTTCATAGCACACAAAGAGTATGGAAGAAGACAGGGACATTTTCTGAGTTGGGAAAGACATACCTAGTCTTCTGCTAAATCTACACAGTTTTTCTTTTTCTTCTAACTCTGGAGGAACTAAAACATGAGGGAAAAATCTCCCCTACATTTGCGTGGCTGACTGCTTATGCTGGTCCTTTGGCTTGAATACTGTTCCTGCCTTCCCTCATATGCAAAATAATTAAGTTTCAGGTCAATAACACATCCTCCTCATAATTTCTCATAAGTCCCTTAGTCCATCAGCATTCTCTCTCTCTCACCCCATATCCCAATGCACTTTCTCCTTGCTACTCTGTGACCTCTTAGCAAGTTCTTTACCTCTCCACTACTAGGTTTTCTTGCCTGCAAAATGGATATGATATTGATATATCTCTTATAGATTTGTAGTAATTAATGAAACAACAAATGTGAAACATTTAACATTCTGCATGACACATTATAGCCACATAATACATCTTAACTGATTGCTATTATTATAATAAATTGTTTGTAATATGTGTTTCAGATATCTTGAACAACTTTCCAGGTCTTATTGCTTCTATTAACTATATAATATTTATGGGATTGTGTAAAAATAGATAAAGACACTTAAAGGTATGCATGATATGTTCATTTTTAAAAGTTGGATTGAATTTATGATTCTTGGGCAAATTTATTATTTTCTTTTATAAATCATTATTCTTTTAAAATCAACCATGTTGAAGCATAATTTACATTCAATAATATGTACTCATTTTATGTGTAAAGCTTAATGCATTTTCACAAATGCATACATCATTGTAACTAGCACCACATACGAGACACAGAACACTTCCATCCCCATGAAAGGTACCTGGTGTCCGGATCTACTCCAGGCCATTCCACCCACACCTGGGAAATTATTGATCTACTTTCTGTTACTGCAGATGAATTTTACCTGATCTATAATCTGATGTAAATCAGTCTTACAGTTTGCTTTTTTTTCTGGCTTCTTTTGCCCAGATTAATGTTTTTGAGATTCACCTATATTTTTAAAACTATTATTAGCTTATTATTTATTTTTTATGTATTTATATCACACATGGTGTATATAGCTTCACTGTAGATGGACATTTGATTGTTTCTGTCTTTTAGCCATCATGAATAAAGTTACCATGAACATATCTGTACAAGTCTTCATATAAACATACATTTTCATTTCCCTTGGAATGAAATTATTAGGTACAATGTCAAGTGCCTATTTATAAGAAACTTCCAGTTTATCTTCTATTTTTATTTCCCCCCAGTGATGTATGACTTCCAGTACTCAATGACATTACCAACATTTCGTACTGTAAATCTTTACTTTTTTCCTTTCTAGTAGGTATACAGCAGTATCCTACAGCAATTTTCATTTATTTTCCCCAATGATTAATGATGTTGATGATCCTTTCATGTGCTCCTTGGCCATTCATATGTTGTCTTATATAAAGTTCCTGTTCAAATATTTTGTTTATTTTTTCCATATTAAGTTATAGAATCTCCTTATGTTTTCTGACTACAAGTCCCTTGTGAGATACATGTATTCTAGTATCTTCTCACAAACTTTGGCTTGCTTTTCATGTTCTTAAGAGTGTCTTTTAAAGAAAGCAGCTTTAGATATAGTTAAACTAATCATTGTTTCTTATATTTAGCTTTTGTTTTCTAAGAAATGTTTGCTTACCCCAATGTCACAAACATTTTCTTGTATGCTTTTGTCTCATGGTTTTATGTTTTCAGCTTTAACATTTAACTCTATGATCTATTTAAAGTATATTCTTGTGTAAATTACAAAGTAGTTTTAGTGGCTGAAGTTCATTTTTCCAGTACATATATCCAGCTCTTCCGGAACCATTTACTTTTTAAGAAATGATTTTTGTCCAGTGAACAACTATGACACCATTTTTGAAAATCAATTGACTGCATATGCATGTGTCTATTTTTAGACTCAATATTCTGTTTCATTGCTCCAAGTGTCTTTTCTTATGCCAATATCAGTCTTGAACATGGCTAAGTCTTGTGATTTGGTTTGGCTGTGTCCTCACCCAAATCTCATCTTGAATTCCAACGTGTTGTGGAAGGAATTCAGTGGGGGATAACTGGATCATGGAGGTAGGTCCTTCCCCTGATGTTCTCATGGTGGTGGATGGGTCTCATGAGACCTGATGGTATTACACAGGGGGGGTTCCATGCACAAGCTCTTTTTCTTTACCTGTTGTCATCCATGTAAGACATGACTTGCTCCTCCTTGCCTTCTGCCATGATTGTGAGGCTTCCCCAGCCACATGGAACTTTAAGTCCATGTTAAACCTCCTTTTTTTTTTTTTTTACAAATTGCCCAGTCTTGGGTATGTATTTATCAGCAGTGCAAAAACAGACTAATACAGTAAATTGGTCCCAGGAGTGGGGCATTGCTGAAAAGATACCCGAAAATGTGGAAGTAACTTTGGAGCTAGGTAACAGGTAGAGGCTGGAACCGTTTGGAGGGCTCAGAAGAAGACAGTAAAATGTTAGAAAGTGTGGAAAAACCTAGAGACTTGTTGAATGACTTTGGCCAAAATGCTGATAACAATATGGACAATGAAATCCAGGCTGACATTGTCTCAGATAGAGATGAGGAACTTGTTGGGAACTGGAACAAAGGTGACTCTTGTTATATTTTAGCAAAAAGACATTTTGCCCCTGCCCTAGAGATTTGTAGCACTTTGAACTTAAGAGAGATGATTTAGGGTATCTGGCATAAGAAATTTCTAAGCAGCAAAGCGTTCAAGATGTGACTTTGGTGCTGTTAAAGGCATTCAGTTTTATAAGGGAAGCAGAGCATTAAAGTTTGGAAAATTTGCAGCTTGAGAATGTGATAGAAAAGAAAATCCCATTTTTGGAGGAGAAATTCAAGACAGCTGCAGAAATTTGCATCAGTTACAAGGAGTTGAATGTTAACCCCCAAGACAAAGAGAAAAATGTTTCCAGGGCATGTCAAAGGTCTTCAAGGTAGCCCTCCTATCACAGGCCTGGAGAACTAGGAGAAAAAAAATGATTTCATGGGTTGAGCTCAGTGTCTTCATGCTGTGTGCAGCCTAGGGACTTGGTGCCCTGGATCCCAGTTGCTCCAGCCATGGCTGAAAGGGCCCAATATAGAGCTCAGGACATGGCTTCAGAGGGTGCAAACCTCAAGCCTTGGCAGCTTCCACTTGATGTTGAACCTGCCAGTGCACAGAAGACAAGAATTGGAGTTTGGGAACTTCCACCTAGATTTTAGAAGTTGTATGAAACCACCTGGATGCCCAGGCAGAAGTTTACTGCAGGGTGGTGCCCCCATGGAGAACCTCTGCTAGGAGAGTGATGAAGGGAAATGTGGATTCAGAGCCCCCACAGAGTCCTTTCTGGGGCACTGCCTAGTGGAGCTGTGAGAAGACAGCCACTGTCCTCCAGACTCCGAGATGTTAGATCCACTGATAGCTTGTATCATGTGCCTGGAAAAGCCTCAGACACTCAATGCCAGCCCGTAAAGCAGCTGGGATAGAGGATGTACCCTGCAAAGCCACAGGGGCAGAGCTGCCCAAGACCATGGGAACCCACCTTTTGCATGAGTGTGACCTGGATGTGAGACATGGAGTCAGAGGAGATCCTTTTGGAGCTTTAAGATATGACTGCCCCACTGGATTTCAGACTTGCATGGGGCCTGTAACCCCTTCATTTTGGCCAATGTCTCCCATTTGGAATGGCTGTATTTACTCAGTGCCTGTACACCCATTGTATCTAGGAAGTAGCTAACCTGATTTTGGTTTTACAGGCTCATAGGTGGAAGAGGCTTGCCTTGTCTCAAATGAGTCTTTGAACTTGGACTTTTGAGTTAATTCTGAAATGAGTTAAGACTTTGAAGGACTGTTGGGAAGGCATGATTGTTTTTGAAATGTGAGGACATGAGATTTAGGAGGAAACAGGGGCAGGAAGATATGATTTGGCTGTATCCCTACCCAAATCTCATCTTGAATTCCTAAATGTAATGGAAGGGACTTCATGGGAAGTAATTGGATCACCGGGGCAGGTCTTTCTCATGGTGGTGGGTGGGTCTCACAATGTCTGATGGTATAATAAGAAGGAGTTTCCCTGCACAAGCTCTTTTTCTTTGCCTGCTGCCATCCATGTAAGATGTGACTTGCTCCCCCCTGCTTTGTGCCATGATTGTGAGGCTTCCCCCAGCCACTTGGAACTGTAAGTCTGTATTAAACCTCTTTTCTGTAAATTGCCCAGGTTCAGGTGTTCTTTATCAGCAGCATGAAAATGGACTAATATACCTTGAAATCAAGCAGTATAAGAGACTCCCCTCCATTCTGTTTTTTCAAAAACTTTGTTATTCTTCAGCACCATCCAATATAAATTTTTGTGATGATAAAAATGTTCTACATTTGTGCTTTCTAATACAATATCCAAAAGCCATGTGTACCTAAGAGCATGAAAAATTAGATTTTATAACTGAGAAACTAGATTTTTAATTTACTTAATTTTGCTTAATTTAAATAGTTACACGTGGCTAGTGGTTACCATATTGTACAATAAAGTTCTTTGCACTTCCACTGAAATTTTATAATCACTTTGTGAATTTCTACCAAAAAAATGCTTCCTAGGATTGTGATTGGGATTGCATAGAATCCATAGGTCAATGGGGAAAATTGATATCTTAATATCAAGTCCTAAAATCTAAATAAAGTCCTCCATTTATTTATATCATCTTTAACTTCTCTCTGTTTATGTCTTCTAGATTTCTGCACACAGATCTCACACACTGCCTTAGTTCATTCTGGCTGTTAGAAGAAAACACCACTGACTGGGTCACTTGCAAATAGCAGAAACATTTTTCACGGTTCTTGAGGCTGAAAAGTCCAAGATCAAGGTGCCAGCAGATTTAGTGTCTGGTGAGGGCCTACTCTCTCGTTCACAGATGGCCCCTTCTAGCTCTGTCCTCACATGGTGAAAGGGGTAGCTGAGCTCCTTCAGGCTTCTTTCATAAGGGCACTAATCCTACTAATGACGGTTTCACACTCATGACCTCACTACTTCTCAAAGGACCAACCTCCTTATACTATTACCCTGGGGCTAGGATTTCAACATATAAATTTTGGGGAGACAAATCATTCAAACCAGAATATACATTTTGTGTAATTTATTTCTAAGTATTTTATGTTTTTCTATGCCATAGAAAACGCTTTATGTTTTTCTATGGCTGTTTCTAATTTACTAGTATTTTGCTAAGAATTTTTGAATTTACATTCACTAAGGTATTAAGACTGTAATTCTGGCTTGCATTGTTTCTTATGAGAAATCAGTGGTCACTTTTAACTGTTCTCTTATGTATCCTGTTTTTTTTTTCTCTTGCTTCTAAGATTTTCCTCTTATAACTGTTTTTCCACAATTTGATTAAGCTATGTCTTGGAGAAATAGCATTTTTATTTATTTTCACATTTTTTATAGCTAACACATAGAAACTAAGCTGATTTGTGTGTGTGTGTGTATTAAACCTATATCCTGCCATTTTACTAAAAGCTCACTCATTAGTTCTTGTATGTATTTTGTAAATTGTAGATTTCTTAGGTTTTATACATACAATGTATGCCATCCATACATTAGGCACTTCTTTCTTTCCAATGTAAAATCTTTGTTTCTCTTACCATATTGCACTGCATAGAAAAACCTCTGGTACAATACTGAATTTAGGTGATGAAGATAACTAGCTTTGTCTTATTCCTGTCTTGGGTGCCTAACATCAGTAGGCATGACTGAAGTAGGTTTCTTTTATAGATACCTTTTACCAGGTTGAGGAAATTTTCTTCCAGTCTTAGTTGACTGAGAATTTTTACCATGAGTATATGTTGTATGCTATGGAATTCTTTTCCTCAGCTATCAAGATGACGTGTGTTTTCTTTTATAGTAAGAGTTAGTTAAGGACACTTGCACACAAATGTTCATTGCAGCACTGTTTACAATGGCAAAGACCTGGAACCAACTCAAATGCCCATCGATGATAGACAGGACAGGGAAAATGTGGCACATATGGAACACTATGTAGCCATCAAAAATGATGAATTTGTGTCCTTTGCAGGGACGTGGATGAACCTGTAAACCATCATTCTCAGTAAACTGACACAAGAACAGAAAATCAAACACCACATGTTCTCACTCATAGGTGGGTGTTGAACAGTGAGAACACATGGACACAGAGAGGGGAGCATCACACACTGGGGTCTGTCAGGGGTGGGGAGTTGGGGAGAGATAGCATGGGGAGAAATGCCAGATATAGGTGACGGGGAGGAAGGCAGCAAATCACACTGCCACGTGTGTACCTATGCAACAATCTTGCATGTTCTTCACATGTACCCCAAAACCTAAAATGCAATAAAATAAAAAAGAATAAGTTTTTCTTTTATAGTAAGAGTTTATCTCTGGAATACAAAGTTGGTTTATTATTTGGAAGTAAACCAACATAATCATATTAACATACTGGTTAATATAATATAATTTCCATATATCACTTAATTAAATTTGTGAGATAGGGAGGGAGGGAGAGAGAGAGAGAGAGAAAGAGAGAGAGAGAGAGAATGAGAATGTGTGTGTGTGTGTGTGTGTGTGTGTGCTGAGATAGAGTCTTACTCTCTTGTCGAGGCTAGAGTTCAATGGTGTGATCATAGCTCAACCTCCCGGGTTCAAGCAATTCTCCTGCCTCAGCCTCCTGAGTACTCTGCCCTGCAAATTCCAGCCTCCTCCTTCTCTGTCTTCTCAGCTCAGTGCAACTGCTATGCCCTGCTTGCGTTTCCTCTCCTCATATCATGATCCAAAAAGTAGTTTCAGGCAGAAACCTGAGGCAACTGTAGGACTCATTGTGAGTTTCCCTTTTCTCAGGCATTAGAAGACTGTGCGGCCTGTTGCCAAATATCTGAAAAGTTATTCTCTATATATTGATCAACATTGCAGTTGATTGCAGAGAAAGATGAGTCCTGCATTACCTATTTCTTTCTCTCTTTTTTTTCTTTTCTTTGGGGGAAGGGGAAAGAGTCTCTCTCTGTCGCTCAGGCTGGAGTGCAGTGGTGCAATCTTGGCTAACCGCAGCTTCTGTCTCCCAAGTTCAAGGGATTCTTCCTCAGCCTCCTAAGTAGCTGAGATTACAGGCATGTGCTACCATGCCCAACTAACTATTTTGCATTTTTGGTAGAGACGGGGTTTTCTATGTTGGTTGAACAGGTTGGTCTCAAACTCCTGACCTCAAATGATCCACCTGCCTTGGCCTCCCAA